TCAAAACTTTGTTCATTGCTTCGAGTTCATCTTTGTCAGCTTTACTTTTAATAGCATCTTCAAACGTTATTTTTGACTTAACTCTCAAAGTAAATCTTGGTTCAACTAGTACACCGTTAACATTGAAAGTAGAGGCATAAATTTCACCGGTATAACCAAATGCTTCTGGTGCTTTAGCTACATCATACTGTACAGTACAGCTTATGTCATAACCTTTAGCACGAATGTATTTATATCTTCTTTCATTAACATTTTTTGTCTTCGCTTCATCACTTCGTGTTAAATATCCATGATAGTCCGTTATAATCTGTTCATCTGAACTTATATAATGAACATGGTTCTTGTCCGCTTTACTATTTAATGTAGCTTGAAGTTCATTTATATCGGAGATATTGTGTTTATGAGATTTCAAAACTTTGTTCATTGCGTCAAGTTCATTTTTGTCCGCTTTACTATTTAATGTAGCTTGAAGTTCATTTATATCGGAGATATTGTGTTTATGTTCTTTATCTGCTTTTTCGGCTAATTTCTCTTCTATCTCATTTATTTCAAGTTCATGCCTACCACCACCTCCTTCAGAAGTATTTTTCTTCAGCTCTTGAAGAACATCCACTTCACCATCTTTGGTGTCAATAATGAGACTTTGTGTTAAAACCTTTCCTGTCTTAATGGATGTTTGTAAAACTTCTTCTTCACCGTGTTCGGGGTCATGGTCGTCATCATATCTTGTGAAATCAGAGATGTTGTCATACATTAAGCATATCTGTCTCAAAAGTTCTGCTATTTGAAACTGGAACGAAAGATATACAGAACTTTCATCATCTCCTAAAGTCAAGTCTGCTTTCTTAAGTATTTCTTGAATGTATGCAATGAGAACAGAGTACCTTGGAAAATATTCGAACAATATTTCATTAGCTGTTGGTTTTGGTGGTTCTTTTGGAGTTTCTGTTGTTTCAGTTCCTTCTGTAGGTTCTGTTGGAGTTTCTGCATCTCTTGACTTCAATGCTCTTGCTCTCAAAGACCTAAATGTTAGAGCACCGGGTTTTACAAAGGACTTTATAAATGCTTTAATAGTTCCTGGTAAGTTATTGTTAGCATTAAGTAAGTTCCTTATGCTTCCATCATGTACGTCCATAGCACTATGTAAAAAATCTATACTTTTCTTGTAGTCAGCAATAGACTGACTGTGATTTTTTAAAGATTTGTCAATACCTTTAAGCCAATCTTCATGCATGTCTGATACTGAGCCAAGAATATCATTTGCTTCCTTTAGTGTATTTTGTGCTTCTCGTAAAGTATCCAATCCCGTACGTGCATTGTTTGCTATACGTCTTACAGTATCTATTTGACTCCTTGTTTCTTGCATCCAACCAGATAAAGTTTTAATAGTATCCGAACCATTTGAAATGAAGTTCAAAGCATTTTTAACGTCATTTAAAACTTCTTCACCAAGTACCGCCCATATCTTTCCGATTTGGTATTGAAGAACTCCATATGAAGCAGCTGTTAAACCAGTATTTATAAGGTTCCATATCCATGATTTAGCAGTTTTTCCATCCTTTCCATCTACACCATCCAAACCGTTCTCGCCTTGAGGTCCTTGTATTCCTTGTATTCCTTGTATTCCTTGTGGTCCTTGAGGTCCTTGAGGTCCGGTGTCACCCTTCTCTCCTTTCAGTTCATCTTTATGTTCGTTATAATATTCTAATGTCATAAGGTGTACATCATTACTGTTACCAGCAACGCCAAGAATTTGTTTCTCATTCATGACTAAATTCTTTAAGCATTTAATGTTGTCGTCAAATCGAAAGCTCTTTAACAATTCAATGAGAACATTTAATACTTTCACTAATGAGGCATCTACTGTTGAATTTATATATTGCACCGTTCCATCATTTATGATGGAACCTTGCTTATTGTAATGAATGGGTCATAAGTGTTAAAAGTATCGAAATCAATGACTTTTTTAGTTTTTCCATCGTCAATGACTAAATCATTGCCTTCACTGTTAAAGTTGAGTTTTCGTTTACTAGTTCATGTGCTCTTCTTGCTTCATTTGTTTCATACGCATATGCAGCAATAGTCATATTTTAATGAGAATAAAATGTTGTTCTATTTGCAAAGTACAGACCCAAACGAATACGGACAGTAAAGCTACAAACAAACTTAGGACTTCAGAATGAAGCACTTGCTTTCAGAGTTGTTGACTTCAATACTATCGCAACTTTTGTCATAACAGATGAAACAGATTTCATAGAGATTGAAATAGATGACAAAAGAAGTGTTATAACATTTCCTAACAGAGCTGGGTATAGAATAGATAAAATTGCTGGAGTCATAAATACTCTCATAAATGAAGAAACTATTGACAACATAGATGTCGAACTCTCTTCTGAGGGAACATTGAAGTTCAGTAGCAAGAAAGAGTTCAAGATACCAAGAATGAGTCATAGAGTTCAATTGCTTCTGGGAGCATACCATATGACATTTCCTTTGAAAAGTGTTGACAAAACGATTGAGATGAAATCTGTTCCATACGTATGTTATGGCAATTGTTTGTACATTGAGTCAAAAATAGCTAATGTCACAGGTATTTCAGGAGTTAATAGTAAAGGTTCAGTAGAATATAAGTCTTTCTGTTATGCAGTAAATTCAATGTTCATTCCAAATGTTCCTGTCATAGCAACTCATTTAGGTAAATGGGTTCGCATTAGTCCTCATAATTTGAAAGACATGCAATTCAGACTTGTTGACTTTCAAGGAGAGCCTGTAGAACTGAAGGCACCAGTGCGAATGACTGTTGAAGTTGACTTTTTAGAAAATATTAAATGCAACAGCTTACAAGAGAACTCAGAGCTAAAAATATAAAGTATGAATGTTATGTATTAGGTCATGAACTTTGGTTGTTGCTGTTTGATGAAACAAATGAGTTAGTTATGTCAGTCAAGAGAACAGAAAAATATTGTGTTAGTGAAAACTGCACCAAGTCAATAAGATTAGGTTTGCATTATGAAGATGAGTTCGATACTGTTGAAGAAGTTTTGGATAGATATTACAAATTGCTTTAATTTACTAAAACATATTTCAAGCAAAGTTTATATTCTGTTGAAAGTTTTGTATACTCGTTCGAATATTTATACTTAAACTCAACTCCTGTAGTTCCTGGTGTTTCAATGATGCGGATGTTACCTATTTTCATGAATAGTGGAGTTTGACCACAGCATTCGATTTCAGGGTCGAGATAGTCAATGACACATTGCTTTCCTGTTATTCGTGAGATAACATTTTCAAGGTCCTCCTTTGTTAGAATTATTTGGTTCTTGCTTATAAGATTTGTCAAAAGCTTCTTATCGTCTTTGAGTAAAATTGTTTGGTATAACTGAAGAAGGTAATGGTCTACGTTATCTGAAGGATTTGTTTGAACATTTGTGTAAGGGTTGTCGTTGGCTTCTCTTGAAAGAATTTGGTCCAGTGGTGGATACTCTAACTTAACATCTGATGTAGCGTTAGCGTTTGAAGCTGAGTTTAAATTCACCGACTTAAGTTCTGGTTCTTTTTCTTTCAAACACTCCGAACTATAGTTCTTTATGACAATATTGTTTGTCGTTCGTGAGTCAACATTTGATGTTGGTTCAATTGGAACATTAACGGCACCAGCTAAGATGGATTTGCTTCTCATTTCATATAGAATAAAAACCTTTTATATGTATGAAATGAACAATATACTCGACAAGGGTTTGAATGTAAAGCTAACGAATGAAAATATTGTTGAATTCACTGAGACAGGTGCTGTGTATAAAGATGTAGAACTACTGAACAAAAGAGCTAAGGGAAGAAGCAGGAACATGAACAAAGGGTGGAAGCCTATAAAAATTTATGTCAATGATGGCTCAGGAGGTTCAAACATAAAGTATGCAGAAAGTTATAGAGTTTATGCTCTCAAAGGTGAAAAGCCTTCATTTAAGAACAGCTATTCTAACCATATCCTCAAAAGCTAACGGATGGGGAAGTGGATGATATGAATGACAGCAAAAATATTAACAGAAATGGCGACAGAGATGCATGGAATTTGTTTACCATCAGTCAATTGAAGGTTAAGCTTTAAAACAATGTTGGTCGTTCCCATGGAATATTTTTGACTTTAATGGTATTAGTCATGATATGAATCTCAAGGTATGAACGAGGAGAGATGAGAGACTTATATGCTTCCCAAATTTCTTCAAAAGGTAATGTTATACCTGACTGTTTCCAAATGAGTTCAATGTCATAGCGTGAGAAACCTTGAAAGATAACGAAGTCAGTTATGAGACGTTTTATGTTTAAAGCTAAAAACCTCCATGTTTGCATAAGTATTGCTACAGTTAAGTGGTAATGTCTGACTTTAGTTATGATGTTAGCTAATGGTGAGTCAGGCTTTGACACTAAACCTTTACCAGCGAAGTCGTCACAAACATAAAGTGTTTGAGGATATTTTTTGAAGGGGTATTTTGAAAGTTTTGATAGAATGTAGTTTGTCAGTCGTTTCATATCGTAAACTCCTGAGTACTGACGTAAGTGGTGTTTGTCAATAATTCTTTCCATCTCCTCAGAAGTCTTTTGCATTCCTGACTGTATGAATTCTACGATGGCATAATATTTCCTCTTACGTCGAATGTAACGTTGAAGAAATTCAATGAGTTCACTGTCTGGAACTTTAACGACAGAGGCTTGAACTTTTGACATAAATGTTTTCGCTGTTGAGTCCATAGAGTCTGAAGTTGCTGATATAATGATTTGGTCATAGTAAGAGTCGTTTCCTAAACGCTCTGTTATGAGTATATGACGAATGAGGTTAAATGTCTTACCTGAACCCATCTTTCCACAATAGAAATACACACCATTTGAACAGAACTCATAGTCCTTACTGAAAGGAAGAATGAGAGAATGTTAAGTTTTCACTGCTTTCATTCATGTCTTCATCTACATCATGTATTAAATGCTTCATTTTATCTCCATTAAAAATGCAAGTCAGAAATATTCAGAACATAGCACCGAGTCTAACTGACAAGAGTATAAAGATATACTATGAACACGTTATGATGAAACCTACCAAAATTCAAGAAAGTCAGTATACTTATGAATATCCAAGACACTGGGTAGAGTATGTAGGAGGTGAGAAAGCTATTGAAATCAGACAGGTTCGAAGTATTCCAGCAGGAAGAACAATATTATTGAAGAACTTTAATGTTTTGAGGTATAATGATGAAACAAAGAAGCAAGATAGTTTTCCTGTTGCTGTGTATGTGAACTTAGATACAGGAGATGACATGAAAGTTTTTAACGCAAAGCTTCAAACGGTAGTGAGAGAACAACTTACTGCGGAAGGGCATCCATTACCTTCAGAAGTTACCATAGCATATAATTTTGAAACAAACTCAATAGATTTTTCGTCTCTGCAAAGAAGTCAGGTTTTACATTTAATGAAGCAGATGTATATTCGAATGAAAACTTCAAAGCTATTGCATGGTTAGATAATGACGATTGCTTTAAGAAAATCTTTAAATTCAGTGACTCAAAGATGTCAATAGATGACCTTCGTGGAATGTTACCATCGACGTTTACAGTTGAAGGTTCAGCAGGATTGCTTACAAGATTGTCAATTGGTGGTATTTGGTCTCGTGAGAACATTGTTATAAAATCCAGTATAAGTGAATTTGCTGAAGAATCTATATTATGTCTTTCAAACTATATGTATTCACCGCCAAAGCATTATAGTATAACAAACTTTGTCAGTAAGTTTAACATAAGACTTGTCGAACCTTCTTCAATGAAAGATGTTGTGCTACCTAAAGATGGAAAGGATGGACTCATTATTGAGATGATTTTAATAGCATATTAAATGAGCTTGTTCTTGAAGGTCATTCATGATGAAATAACTGTTGTAGAAGATGTTAGCAATTGTTCAGACATTTTGAAGCGTATAGATGATATAAGAAATAAGTTAGATAGACCGCAAAGCGGTGAGGGCGAAGCCCGTGAGAACGTTTATGTTTCATTGACTTTCTCCAGTAACGAGAACTTTTATGAGATAATATTGAAGAGAGATGATTTTAATATGGTGTAAATGGTAGCTTGGGCAGCTTTAGGCGCAATGGGAACAAAAGCATTAGCATTTGGAGCAAAAGCACTTGGAGCTTATGACGCAGTAAATAAAATGAGTGGAGGAAGGGTTTCGAAGACATTAGATGCAAATAAAGGAAAGATTGGAGGCTGGGTTGCAAAGAAGTTAAGATTAAATAAAATAGGGCTCATAAATAAAGCATCCAATTTGGTTGCGACTGAGTCAGAAAATGCTTTAGGAAAGGACGATGAGTTTGCAAAACACGCAAAAGACTTTAATGACCAGATGAAAGGTGAAACAATGCATTTAAATAGAGTCGATGGAACTAAAGAAAATGTTTCTTCTCCACTAGTAGTTCTTCCGTATGGTCCCTATGGAATGTATGGGAACCCTTACGAAAGACTATTTGACCCATTGACTGGTGGAAGTAACTGGTATCATTACGGACGAAGAAGAAAGACAGTCAAGTTGGAGACAGACGTGAAGAAAGCAACTAAAAAGAAACCAAGGAAGAGAGTTATAAAGCAATGAATTCAACAAGGTTAGAAATGAGGGTAGAAATGAGGTTAGATCTAACCTTCTACCCTAAATTTAAATGGATGTTTTCATACGTGTGGGAGTGGTGATATCATTAATTTTTAAGTTTATTTTTTATTTTATTTTTATATAAATGACGAAAACTATTGAGATAACAAACTACAACGGTCATGAGTTCAAGAATTTGTTCTTCGTTCCTCGTGAAAATACATTCTATCAGATACGAGGGAGAAAGGGTAAAGTTAGTTTGAGCGTTTATGAAGGAATGAAGAATGGAAAGTTTATACAAGCATACGATACAAACGGTAAGCGTGTTTCATTAGCTTTGTCAAAACTTACAGGTATAAACTATGACAGTGATTTTGACTCTGACGATTGGAGCGACAGCAGCGATACTGAAGAATATGAACTATTGTGTGAAGCACAGCAATGGGAAGAGTTGCAATACTTTTGTAAGTGAGAACGTTTATTTTTACAGTAGTAAGGTGAAGTGGTTGGCGGCTTTATAAATATTTAAGGTTAAGTTGGTGTTTGTGTTTGTGTTGTAAAATATACGTTAACGGTTTTGTAAAGTGTCAAATTCACAAGTATTGCGTACGGAGGAACGCAGTGCCTCCGTACACGAGACTTGTATACTAACTTACAAAAGAGAATCCATGAATTGATGTTTTCGTCCAAAATAATAATATTATATTGTCGACTGTGATAAGTTATTATGGCTACTAGTTTGGATTTTACAGCTGGATTGTTATTCCATGTGTAATCATCCAATGGAAACGTAAAACCAGCAACATCAATAAAAAGATAATCTGAAAAAGTAGGAGTAACTTGAAGTTCGTTATTATTAACAAGAGGAATGTCAATTTTATCTGTAAATCCCCAGCAGAATTTTTTGAAATAATCAATAAGATCTAGTTGCCTAGCTTCACATGCAAGCGATTCTTGTAATTGTTTGAAAGCATCAATTGGATCAGCTTGATGTATCTTTTGCCGTTTCGAGTACAGGTGATACAGATAAGTAACATCTGCATTTTCCGAAAAGTTCCGATTTGTGAGCGATAATATTTCTTTGTATATTAACTGTTGCTCATTGGGATTAGAGAATAATTCGTCAAATAGTTTGTGCATTAATGGTCGAAATGTAATAAGTTGAACAATAACGGCAAGAAAACCGATATTTTTTCCAAGCTTGATACCAAGCTTTTGTTTTTTAGGCTTATCATGAGTTTTTCTGAGTGTCTGTGGAAGTTGTATCAAATCAGGATGAAAATCTGCTATCATTTCAAGAGATGGTGGATTGTGGCTGAGGACGTTAAGATAATTGATTGCGTTTATCTTAATTTTCTCAAAGTTATGAAAATCAGTAAAAGCTGAATTCATAATTTCTTTTGCTTGCTGAGAATCGTAAACTGCAACAGCCGAGATGTTTTCTTCATTAATACGAATTAAAGACGAGTACGTATTATAAAGATCTTGTTTAAATTTGGATAATAAATTTTGGAATTCTTGAGGATCATCTGGAATTTCCTTCGCCTTGAAGAAAAATGAAAACCTTTTCCAATCTGGTGGTACTTTGATATCGGAACCAAATATAGATTTTTTGTTGAATTTTGGATAATCTGTTGGAAGTGAAAGATTTTCAGATTCTGACGGTTCTTCATCCGCTGGCGGATCCTCATCGTCAGATTAGTATACATATCATGGGTACGGAGGCACTGCGCGCCTCCTTATCCATTATATGTGAATTTGACACTTTCCAAAACCGTCAACGTATATTTTACAACACAAACGACAACACTAACTTAACCTTAAATATTTACAAAGCCGCCAACCACTTCACCTCACTAATGTAAAAAATAAACGTTCTCACTTACAAAAGTATTGCAACTCCTCCCATTGCTGTGCTTCACATAACAGCTCATAATCTTCTGACTCACTTTCTTCTTCATATAGGTCAAAATCACTGTCAAAATAAATGTTAGTAAGTTTTGACAAAGCTAATGAAACACGCTTACCGTTTGTATCATATGCTTGTATAAACTTTCCATTATGCTTGTAGTCATAAACGCTCAAACTAACTTTACCCTTTCTCCCTCGTATCTGATAGAATGTATTTTCACGAGGAACGAAGAACAAATTTTTGAACTCATGACCGTTGTAGTTTGTTATCTCAATAGTTTTCGTCATTTATATAAAAATAAAAATTTTCAGTAAAAATAAAACTAACGTTAAAAATTTCTCATAACATAAACGTTCTCATTACTTTATAACTCTCTTCCTTGGTTTCTTTTTAGTTGCTTTCTTCACGTCTGTCTCCAACTTGACTGTCTTTCTTCTTCGTCCGTAATGATACCAGTTACTTCCACCAGTCAATGGGTCAAATGGTCTTTCGTAAGGGTTTCCATACATTCCATAGGGACCATACGGAAGAACTACTAGTGGAGAAGAAACATTTTCTTTAGTTCCATCGACTCTATTTAAATGCATTGTTTCACCTTTCATCTGGTCATTAAAGTCTTTTGCGTGTTTTGCAAACTCATCGTCCTTTCCTAAAGCATTTTCTGACTCAGTCGCAACCAAATTGGATGCTTTATTTATGAGCCCTATTTTATTTAATCTTAACTTCTTTGCAACCCAGCCTCCAATCTTTCCTTTATTTGCATCTAATGTCTTCGAAACCCTTCCTCCACTCATTTTATTTACTGCGTCATAAGCTCCAAGTGCTTTTGCTCCAAATGCTAATGCTTTTGTTCCCATTGCGCCTAAAGCTGCCCAAGCTACCATTTACACCATATTAAAATCATCTCTCTTCAATATTATCTCATAAAAGTTCTCGTTACTGGAGAAAGTCAATGAAACATAAACGTTCTCACGGGCTTCGCCCTCACCGCTTTGCGGTCTATCTAACTTATTTCTTATATCATCTATACGCTTCAAAATGTCTGAACAATTGCTAACATCTTCTACAACAGTTATTTCATCATGAATGACCTTCAAGAACAAGCTCATTTAATATGCTATTAAAATCATCTCAATAATGAGTCCATCCTTTCCATCTTTAGGTAGCACAACATCTTTCATTGAAGAAGGTTCGACAAGTCTTATGTTAAACTTACTGACAAAGTTTGTTATACTATAATGCTTGGCGGTGAATACATATAGTTTGAAAGACATAATATAGATTCTTCAGCAAATTCACTTATACTGGATTTTATAACAATGTTCTCACGAGACCAAATACCACCAATTGACAATCTTGTAAGCAATCCTGCTGAACCTTCAACTGTAAACGTCGATGGTAACATTCCACGAAGGTCATCTATTGACATCTTTGAGTCACTGAATTTAAAGATTTTCTTAAAGCAATCGTCATTATCTAACCATGCAATAGCTTTGAAGTTTTCATTCGAATATACATCTGCTTCATTAAATGTAAAACCTGACTTCTTTGCAGAGACGACTTTAAAATCTATTGAGTTTGTTTCAAAATTATATGCTATGGTAACTTCTGAAGGTAATGGATGC